CGGAATCAGCCAGACTGCATCTAATCTGTCCAGTCAGGGCACTGAGAAGATACATTTCTTGCACACAACAGATAAGACATACCGATCAGCTGTTTGTCTGTTATGGAGACTCTGTGCAAGGCCAGGCGGTGTCCAAGCAGAGGCTGGCAAAATGGGTGGTCAGGCTGATAGAGCTAGCCTATCACAGCGCAGGGATGCCTGCTCCAAATGGAGTGGTGGCCCACTCTACAAGAGGAGTAGCGGCCTCCTGGGCATTGTTTAGAGGGGCCTCTCTGGAGGATGTGTGTGCAGCAGCTGGTTGGTCATCATCTATGACATTTGCCAAATTCTATCGTCTGGATGTTGCTACGACAGTCTCATCAACTGTCCTGCAAACAGTGGAACAGACATGATCTGGTGAACCCGCTGATTTAACTGTGAATGACAGGAAAACTAATAAATGTTCTGTTAGCATGAATTGGTTTCCTTGAGTTTATTGCCCTGCTTTGGTTTTTTTTCTCCCCTCCTGACCTTATCTGGTACACAGTTGACCCACACGGCGTGGTCACTCAGGGAGCACTTGTCACTAGTCGGCAAAAGAGAAAGCGCTCGCACCTGTATTTATAGACTGTGATTGCAACCGTGGTTAATTTGATATACCGTCTCCTGACAGCTCATCCTTAGCGAGGCTGACCCATACTGTGGCGTGTTGACTTCATTCACAGAACTAGGTTACCCACGTAACCCCTCGATATGTGATATATATAAATATGAGACAATACTCATACAGGGGCATTTTTGCCCCAATATCTTGAATTTTAGGGCATAAATGCATTTATGGAGTTGTTGCCCTGCATCATATTTGTCAGTCAACTGTATGAAATGTAAGATGATGTACAGTTCTGGGGGCGGGGCCAGTGAGTTAACTGCGTTAAAATATTTTAATTGCGTTATTTTTTCATAACTAATTAAGTTAACGCATTAAACGGACAGCCCTTGTTTAAATACAAAGTTCTCTCATGAAACTCTAGATAGGTCAAACTCAATCTGACATATGACATCATTATTCACAGGTTGCAGCTGATTGGTTTATTTTCACATCAGCAGCCAATGAGCTTACTGCTCAACACTCAAATACTTGGCTAGTGCTTGCTGTAGCAGCAGCAGCGCACTTCAGAAACCCTCCACCTCCCCCAGCTCTACCTGTATAGATCTGCTATGGGGTAATGTCATGTATGCTATGGGGGTTATTCATGTATGTTATATGTGCAGCAGCAGTATTTCTTACATGCTCACAGCAGCATGTCTGTGGATGTATTGGCAGTATCAAGTCTCGGTACTTGCTCTGCTGCAGCACATAGCAGATCTATTCCGCCAAGACCCAACACATTAGTTTATTTTAGTGCTGTCAAACAATTAATGGCATCCAAAATAAAAGTTTTTGTTTACATAATATATGTTTGTGTACTGTGTATATTTATTATGTATATATAAATTCACAAACACAGTATATATTTTGAAAATATTTACATGTATATATTTATATTCATATAATTTATATTATATATACTGTAAATATATGTAATATACAAACATAAACATTTTCTGAAATATATACATTCATGTGTATTTATATATAAATAATTAATATACACAGTACACATATATGTTATGTAAACAAAAATAATAGAAAGATTTTAGTTCCATCAACTTAACTGCCAAAACTTAAATAATTTATCATTATGCACTAGAGAATTTACTTGAACAACTGATTCATTTCTACAATGTAAAATAACCAAGACCTGACATTAATGAAAACCACTAAAACTAATGCAATATGCATTTCCTGAGGGACAGCAAAAAAACAAAACCAAAAAAAAAGCCAGCAAATGATAGCACCAGTCACAACAGAAAACTGATTAATTGTTAATTGTTGACATGAGACCTAAAAGCTACTTCAGTATGTTGGGAAAATGCCCCCCTTAACAACAATGTGCATTTACTGTTCTTACGAAGTTACGAAACATGTTACCTGTTTCTGATGTCATACAGAACTACCACATTTTGCTATAAGTTTGATTGCATCATATAATAATTGCTGTTAATAGTGTTCATCGTCTGTTTTATTACATCTTAAATTGAGTTGTCCGTACATTTCTGCCATATGTACATTAACTGACAGTCACCACTGATAAGCTACCACTAAATATTGTAGAAACTTAATTTGCTGTAAAGTTGCTTTGCAACGATTTGTATCGTGAAAAGCGCTGTACAAATAAACTTGAACTGTTAAAGTGTAATATGTTTAGATAATAGTTCAGCATGTGCAGGATGATGATGATGCATCAGTCAATGTGTCATTTAGAGAAATATACATTTACAAGGTAATTAGTTGTCATAGCACAAAGAGGCCATAGTACCCCACAACTGGGGCAAATTTACTGTATTACAGAAACAGAGTGATTCCAGAACCATCTTTCAAGAGCGGTTTGAACCAGCAGATAATACTGAGCACATCAGAGGCCGTGCTTGTGATTGAGCAGTGGCATTATGTCACATCAGCTTCAGATGAACTACAGCCAACAGCAAATACACACAGGCAGTATCGAAGTACATTTCTCAGAGAATGAGAAAAACAACACCTGTCCCTCTTCCTTCAGTTTTGCACCAGGTCAGATTTAATTACTCTGTCATTAGGAAGAAATTGAAGTGGCAGAGACACAAGTAATGTAAGAGCAGGCTTCATTTTACTTTGTTTTTTCAAGATGTGTTTTACATGTACACGTTTCCCACGTTCCTGTTAATATTCTCATTTAGACACAAGGTTTGAAAGTGCCTTTTTGTTTATTCGGTAACACACAAACAATCATCTGTGTGTTATATGTCTATACAAATAAGCTTTTTATTTTGAAGCACATACTGTATAAAGCTCAGTGCATTTATTTTTGTTTGGGTTTATTGTTTCTCATCATCACTGATCTGTGATGTTGAACATTACTACAAGTCCACTGCTGCAAACACGTCATTTTAAAGATCCAAATCATAAATAATGCTCTGACTGATCAAGACATGCATTAAACATGTCTTTGTGGAGTCCTTGAAACTCATGCACTACAGAAATCATGGAACCCGTTAAAACGGAAACTGTGCAAAGCAGAATTAATTATAAATGTAATTTATAGCATGATAAAATACTAGTATTAGGTGAGGCAAGTTACAATTCCAGGTTAGAGTTCAGGTGACATCTGGTGGACACTGTCGCCCACGAAGTCGCCCAGTTCTATTTATAACAAGTCAGGTTTGACCGTGAACACAAAATTCATCAATTATGAAACGAAGAGGATTAAGCTCTATATTATAAAAACATGGCGCGTGTAAACAAAACAAACAATATTGTCACACCATTTTTCATGCATTTTACATGTTATAAATAAAGCTGCTTGACTTTTCTTATGGAATGATTTTTGATTCGGCTCTTATTCACTTCCGCGCCACGTTGTTATTAAATGATTGGTCCATGAGGCCGCGTGTGTCATTTTAATGGGGGGAGACCATAGCCAATATTAACTGTTAATCCATTATTTTGTCATAAAACAAGTACTTATAAGATACTCTTCGATCGTTTAAAAGATGTCGGCAAGACGTAAAATCTTCCGTAATGTAAGGCAAATGTCCGGTGATTCCCTCGCAATAGTGGTACAGTCCATTGACCCATGACGCTCTAGTGGCTCCGCCTTCTTTCTGTCTCGTCATCACTGCGGAACTGAACTCTCTTCGTTACGATTCCGTGGTGAATATATTCATATTATAGCTCTGTAAATCTGTCAGAAACAGTGAATAGAGCTCATCTGTGGAAGTGACTTTAAAAGCCATCACCTTTGTTTTGTGGATCATTTGAAGGTAATAATCAAACCAGTGCAGCAGCTGAATCTGGGTGAGTTGATCATTAAATCATATGAAACATGAGCTGTTCAGTTTTACTGATATATAAACATCGCTAGTATGTGTGGACTACTGTTACTACTGATAATAATACTTGTTACACGTAACTGTTAAATTGTATTGGTTAAATTCTATTGTATTTGTGTTGGTATTCATATTTTATAATTTTTACATTAGTTAAATATTAAATGCTTGTAAATGACTTTACTTATGAACAAAGTATAATACAAAATTAATTACAAAAATAAAATAATATTTATTATTAGCATGATACCAAAAAAAGTTGATAGTGAAGGAAAAGCAGCCAACAAGTGTCCAGAATACATGGGAACTTCTTCAATACTGTTTAAAAACACATCCCAGAATGGTTGAGAAATTGTCCTGAGAGTTCAAAACTGTAAAGATGCTATGTTTAAGATTTGTCCTTACATCATTTCCAGTTGTGTTAGAATGTGTTTGTGTGTCCATACTTGACTGGATTTATATAATAATATCAGAGTCAAGTTCGTTGTTAGAGATGATTTTCAGGTATTACAGGTGTGCTGTGTGGGTGTGGTCTCATGGGACAATAAGAAGGTGTCAAATATGTCCCATTGTGACATTCACCAGAAGCCCTTTATAAACACTCATGTAATGAGGATTGTTGCAGATGTGTCTCATTTTGTTTCTCAGGCACCGTATATAAGTAATCGCACCTGATGCCCATCTGCGCTGACAGCGTCCCGCTCCAGTGACCCACGATGAAAGCTCTGATCCTGGTTGGTGGCTATGGCACCAGGTTACGGCCGCTCACGCTCACTGTGCCCAAACCTCTGGTTGAGTTCTGCAACAAACCCATCCTGCTGCATCAGGTGGAGGCGCTGGTCAAGGTAGCTCAGGAGGACAGCTTTCCCTACATTTGTGCTTTTTCTGATTGATCTACAGCATTGTAATGTTAATGTTTGATGTCTCTGTGGTCAGGCTGGAGTCCGTCATGTGATTTTGGCTGTGAGCTACATGTCTGAGCTGTTGGAGCGAGAGATGAGAGCTCAGGAGCAGAGGGTATGCTTGTTGCGTTTAACTCGTTTATTGCAGTTTCGTGTTTTTATGTGGTGAATATCAAAAGTCATATGGACTTATTTGTGATTTGCACAGCTTGGAATAAAAATCTCCCTTTCACATGAGAAGGAACCTCTAGGCACTGGTAGGTGAACATTTTCATATCGCTTTAATTTTCTGTTTTGAATTTTTACAAATCATAGCTTCATGGGAATGATACGAAACTTGGTGACTTTTATGGCATTTGGAATGTGAACACACACAAAAATTGAGGGCATGATTCGAGCAGGCTAAGTGGTCGTAATAAAAATAGTCACAATTGTGTTCTTCGGTCAAAAATGACCGACCATAGGAAATGAATGGGAAATCGACAAAAATTCAGAGAATTTTTGTGTGAACAATCTACAAATCTGCCACAATGCAGAAAAAAAGTGCACAGCAATGATGGATGATTCGAGCAGGCTAAGTGGTCGTAATAAAAATAGTCACAATTGTGTTCTTCGGTCAAAAATGACCGACCATAGGAAATGAATGGGAAATCGACAAAAATTCAGAGAATTTTTGTGTGAACAATCTACAAATCTGCCACAATGCAGAAAAAAAGTGCACAGCAATGATGGGGTTAAACTCTAAAACATCATGAGTGCAAAACCAACACATCCACTCACACACACTTATACACACACCAGTGTTAATTTGGACAGCAAATTTTGATTTAGTTTTAGTCAGTCTTTTGACTAAAATGCCATTTAGTTTTAGTCATATTTTAGTAATCTAAATAGTTTTTAGTTTTAGTCGACTGAATCTACAGTAAATGTAGTCGGCTAAAATCTAATGGGTTTAGTTAGAGTGCATTTATTAAGCATTTCTCTAAAATTTTCAAACTCATTATATAGGTTTGATATTAAGGTTTTATCATGATAGATAAAACCTATCTAATTTAACTGCGGTGACACAACATGCCTTTATGTTAAAATGAAATAAAACCACTTCTCATAAAGAACAAGAACAAGGTCTTCTTTTTAATGAAATACCAATGGTTATATTGGTTAATTATGCATTCTTTATAGCAACTTGTTTACCATATTCTTCATTCTTTCAAGCAGACATATTTATTTCTATAAATAAATTTAGATTAATCTTTAGGGCTACTAAAGTGATTCAGTCAAGAGCAGTGCGTGATTTTATGTCTTTCTTTTGTTGCTTGATTAACATCAATGACTCGGAACAATAGCAACTAAATTAGGCTGCTGTCCCTTTAAAACCGAATGCACAGCTGCACAGCAATGTACTGAGACACGTTCTCCCTACTGTTTATGTCCACTTAAGACGTAATCAACTGTGTTTACGTGAATACTCGTCAAAACGGACGATTCGACATCAGTTTGTGTGTAATTCTCCATTCATGAGACACGAAAGAGTACTCGCGCACTGTGAGACGCGCTCTCTCTGTGTACACTTCAGTGTGTGTGCTCAGAAAACTGGACTGAATTGAGTTCTCTCTTGCGTCGTCAGAGAGATTTATCCATATGTCTGCTCTTCTCTTACTCCCACATATTGACATTTTTTTACGTTTTATGTGACGTGCAGCAGGTGTATGTTAGCGTATGTCCCGCCGGTTCATATATACGCATCTAACCTCTGAACCACGCAGCAGATTCGTTCTGAATGAATCTCTTCCCAAATCGTCCCTCCCTAACATTTTCATCTTGTTTTTATTCGTTGACGAAAATGTCAATAAATATTCTTCAAAGTTTTTGTCATTCAAAAAGAGTTTTAGTTCGTTATAGTCTCGTTGTCGTCGGTGAAAAACATTTAATTGACGAAATTTTTCTTTTTTATAGAATTTTAATGTTTTGTGTAGCAAAATGCTTTCTCTGTGTTCAGGTTTGACTGTAGTAATAATAATTCAAAAACTGACGCTTCAAATCAACATTTCAAACAAAGAAAATCTAAACCTTTACAAAAAGTTGTCTTTGAGAATGTCTAAATATATATCCAAACCCACAATTTAATAAAAATAAGTATTTATGTCTAAAAACAATTAGAGAATTTATAGCCCTTTTATATAGAGCTATATAGGAATCTATGGGCTAAACCATGGAATTGTAGATGTTTTTCTTATTTTACTCCCACCAGATGGCACTAATCTGGCTTCAAAAATGGGATTTTAAAGGCATTGACTCTATTTTAACATGAAATATTGCATTAATTGATAAGTAATATAGAAATATTTTTTTTTACAAATTTGTATTATTTTCAATGGGCAGAAATTGATCATAATTATTGCATAAATATTAATTAGTGCCATGAAATTATCTCAAAATACAAAAGAAAAAATATTATTGAACAAAAATATATTACATTGATTTTACTGGGGCAAAAAAAAGCTACATTTTAGGTGTCCGGTCACTTTTGACCGTGAAAATGACAGGTGTGACTCCCAAATGAGGAGCACCAGAGGGTTAAATGCACAAACACAGCCAGTGTGAAACTGTAAATCTGATGTTTTTTCTCAGCTGGTCCTCTGGCTTTGGCGCGAGAGCTGCTGACCGATAACGAGGAGCCTTTCTTCGTTCTCAACAGTGACGTCATCTGCGATTTTCCCTTCGACGACATGCTGAGGTTCCACCAGCAGCAGGGCAGAGAGGGCACCATTGTCGTAAGAAACACACTTTCTTTGGAAATCCCAAATGTTGTGGAAACCACTGGCTGAGATTTAAATTATGCAATGTTGAAATATGACTCAACCCCATAGTCTATCCGAAGAGGTTTTACAGCTCCTTTCAATGCACTGTATAAAACAAGTAAATTTTTATACCCTAACCTGATAAATTTCTGCCTCTCTCATCTCTGAAGGAATATTTGACCCAACATTACTCACCTGTTACTCTGTTACTCACTTACTGGGATTATCTGGCTGATGTTTCAGGTGACAAAAGTGGAAGAGCCATCTAAGTATGGTGTGGTGGTGTATGAAGGAGACACTGGACGAATACACCGCTTTGTGGAGAAGCCGCAAGTGTTTGTCTCCAACAAAATCAATGCTGGGATGTACATCTTTAGCCCTGCCATGCTGAGAAGAATCCAGGTCAGGATTGACACAAACACCATCTCAGAAAACACTGTCATTTTGTATGGAATTTTCAAAAAATATACATTTTTCGACTGCAATTAAATGCATATTGCTTATAGGAAGCAACCTATGGTACATTGTTTGCATTATGACAGTTAGGTATTTTTCTCCCCTCAAAATCTAATTACCATAATGTGAAAAAATCTCATTCTCATTGTACTGCATTTATTGTGATTTACATAAAAAAATAATTGAATTACAGTTTTAACTGTAGTACAGTATAAAATTACTTTAAGTAAAGGCTTCAGTCATGATGTGAAAAATGTCTCCCTCGGTTCAAATCTACTAAATGAAACTTGGTGACCAACACACATATGTCACCAGAGAAAAGTCAGATTTTTTTACTGGAAGATCCAGTTATGACGTTTTTTTTTTTTTTAAAAGGTCAAAAATAATTTTTAAAATGAAACGAATGCATGGATGAACTGTTCAAAATAAGATCAATGACATCCATTTAGAAAATGTATAGGGTGAATTTCTATTTCATAGCAACTTTTAGTAAAGTATCGTTCATCAAAGTGTTATTAAAAAATATCTCACAGAATTATTTATGTAGTTGCAGTGTAAATGCATTCATACCACTTATGAATGAGAAAGTGTCTGTCAAATGTGTGATACAGTATCTCAGGTCATTTATGCGAGTGATATCTTTCAGGGAGTAGGACTGTTTTCTTTATGTGATTCCATAAATATTTGCTTACAGCACATTTAACTTGTTTTCATTTTGCTGAAAGGTTTAACCTTTTTCTGTATTTTGCACTCAGTTGCGGCCCACATCCATTGAGAAGGAAATATTTCCTGTGATGGCCGAGGAGGGACACCTTTATGCCATGGAGCTGCAAGGTAAAGGATCACGCAGCTTTCACCTGACACGTCTGATTAGGACTGCTCCAATACAATCATACATTAGCATTTATTACAAATATTACCTCCTTTTATTGATGTACACTGTCGTTCAAAAGTTGGGGTTCAGTAACAAGGCTGTATTAATTTATACATTTTTGATCAAAGTAAATTAGTGAAATATTATTGCAATTTAAAATAACTGCTTTCTATTTTAATATCTGTTAAACTGTCATTTATTTCTGTGATGCGCAGCTGTATTTTCAGCATCATTACTCCAGTCTTCAGTGTCACATGATCTTCAGAAATCATTCTAATATGTTGATTTATTATCAGTGCTGGAAACAGTTGTGCTGCTTCATATTTTTGGAACCTGTGATATTTTTTTCAAAATTCTTTGATGAATAAAAAGCTAAAAACGGTGTTTATTCAAAATAGAAATTTTGTGTTACAATCTACACTAATATTCAAAACTTTGGTGTCAGTACATTTTATTTCTTTTTTTTTTTTGTTGAAATAAATTAATACTCATATTCAGCAAGGGTGTGTTAAATGAATAAAAGGTAATAGTAAAGACTTATATTGTTAGTAAAGTTTTCTATTTTGAATAAATGCTGTTCTTTTTTACTTTTTATTCAATGTATCAAAGAAGTATCACAGGTTCCAAAAAAATATGAAGCAGCACAACAGTTTCCAGCACTGATAATAAATCAGCATATTAGAGTGATTTCTGAAGATCATGTGACACTGTAATGAAAAATTACAAAAAAATACAAAACAAATATTTGAAATTGCAATAATATTTCACGATATTACAGTTTTTTCAGTATTTTTGATCAAATAAATACAGCCTTGATTAGCATAAGAGACTATTAAAAATCTTACTGATCGGCAGTATATTTATCAACAGGTTTATTCGTATAAATTTGTACAGTTCATCTAAATAATCAGACGGATCGTTTACACTTAAAATTGCTAATCCCAACTCACTTAAACCTTAGGCTAACAAAATCCTGGCTCAAGTTTTTCCAGCGTTAACCCTGGGTTAGGAATTAACTAGTGTAGAAGTACAGCTAATGGAATAGTTATCGTACTTGGTGTTTATGGGCCATTAAGATTTGGGCTTTCAGCTTTACTCATTACATTCTTATTTGCATATTTGCTTTATCAGTATCATTGATTGGATGAATACAGAACACAACCGTTTTAAATAAGGGCTTACTTTGCTGTTTGCATCAGTTGGGCATATACGTATATAGAAAATTGTACCATTTAGTTTGATTGAATAATCTTTTTGGACAAAGACTAGGCATGGGCCGGTATGAGATTCTGACGGAATGATAACCATAGATAAAAATATCACGGTTTCACGGTATTCCGATTACAGCTCTAAAATATGTTATTTTTAAATGTCTTGGTAAAAAAAATTTTTTTATTCCCACTGAATACAATACATTTTATTTTTAAGAAACATAGAACATTTTGGAACACTCCATAAACATGACAGGCTAAATAATTAAAATACATAATTGAATTCTTCGTAATTAAATTAAGTGCAGTCACTTCAGTGGGCCTAAACCTGCAGCTCAACAATAACCAGAACATAAATAAATTATTTTCTGTAAAAAAAATTAAAAAATCCTTCTAAATAAAAAATAAATAAATGAACAAATAAATAAAAAATGCAGTGATTAAACCTGCAGCTCAACAAGGTTTTTGGAGACATGCTCACTTTCTACACATTCATCTTTCAGTCCAAGTTATGATCCAGGAATGTTCACCTTTCCTGGATTAAGTTTGGAGCGGTGAGGTACGAGGATGTGTGCACATACACGCATAAGGAAAGAGAGCGCGCGAGTGTCACACACACACACACACACACACACACACACACGTGCGTCTCTCCGTACAACACACAAACAGTGGAAAAGATACCTTTGTTTTTTAAATGTTGTGATTTTTAACAGATGTGAACAATGGCAGGAGGCTTAAAAGTATAGACGTGATACCAGCTAAATTTTATTGTACTAAATCGCAGAAACGTAGTACTTTAGTCTGCTATTCCTCGCTCTGTGAAGTAATGTTAACGTGAGGGAGCACGCTAGTTCACGTTTGCTGGTTAATTAGCCATGTTATCTGCCTCGGTAGCAAGCCAAATAGTATTTATTTCAACACTGAAACAAACGGCGGGTGGGTCTCTGTCTTGATCGGGGGTGAAAGAGGGAGAAATAAAGATGACACAGAAATATAGTTTATGTATGACCTGGAAGTATTTATTTAGCAATCGGCACTAAAACGTCATCTGTACGGAACATCGTTGTGTACAGAACATGGTTAGTCTACGTTACCCGAAAAATTCCCATATGACAGACTTGGTCTTTTTCGACGGGGGAAAAAGTTCCAGGGATTCATCTCCTTCGGCCATCCCACACACAGGTGACTCCGCTCGCACCAACCGGAGGGGAAGGGGGTTGTGTGACTCGCTACGTTCTTCGCTGCACACAACCGAGGGAGTCCTGCACTTTCCGTCTTTGATGACACGTAAAAAAACTGCGCATACCGCAGGAACGGTATAACAGAAAATTTTAGTGGTTTTGAAACCGTGACTTTTCCAAACCGCGGAATACTTTGAAACCGGTAAGCGTCCCATGTCTAACCAAGACTGAATATGGTCTCTTCTTTACTCTAACTAACACGTTTTTCATCACTGATTGACATTTTGATTTTCAATCAAACACTGTTTCTCTCTCTCACACACACACACATATATATACACACACATACTCACTCTCTCACACACACACACACAGATACACACTCTCTCACACACACACACACACGCGCACACATACACACTCTCACACACACACACTCACACACGTACACACTATTTCTCACACACACACATACACACTCACGCACGCACGCACACACATACGCACGCACACACATACTCACTCTCTCACACACACGTACGCACGCACATACACACTCTCTCACACACATACACACTCTCTCTCTCACACACACACACACACACGTACACACTCTCTCTCACACACACACAGTTTGTTTTTGTGAAAAGTGGGGACATCCCATAGGCGTAATGGTTTTTATACTGTACAGACCGTATATTCTATTGCCCTACACCAACCCTACCCCTAAACCTACCCCTCACAGGAAACTTTGTGCTATTTCAGATTTTCAATACACTCCATTCTGTGTGATTTGTAAGCGTTTTGAAAAGTGGGGACATGGGGTAATGTCCTGAAAAGTCACCTTCTCCTCGTAATACCTGTCATACCTTTGTCATTATACAAATGTATGTCCTCATTTGTAACAAAAACGCGCGCGCACACACACACTAACTCACTAACTCACTCACTCTCACTCACACACACACACACACACACACACTCTCTCTCTCTTTCTCACACACACACACTCTCACTCACTCTCTCGCTCTCGCATACACACACACACATTCACACTCTCTCACGCACACATACACGCGCACACACACACTCTCTCACACGCACACACTCTCTCAATTCAATTCAATTCATATTGCTTTATTGGCATGACATACTTAAGTACATATTGCCAAAGCATTGCACATAGCAATATACATCCATAAACAAACAAACAAAACAAAAATACATGTAAAATACATCCATATATATTTATATAAAATTGATGGTACTACTAATGGAGATGTGTTCACTCTTTAACTCTTAGTTTGTGGCATTTATAAATATAATGTGCTACCAAAGAGGAAGTAGGTCCTTCACCAAGTAATATTCTTAATTTGTGGTTTTCATGGATCGACTGGAACTCAGGAATGCTCTGCTGTATTTGACTGTACAGTGAGTCTCTTAAGGATGTGTATTTGTCACAGTGAGGGAGGAAGTGCTCCTCCGTCTCTACTGATCCTGATCTACATTCAGTACAGAATCGCTCTTCTTTAGGTAACCACGTGTTTTTATGTCATCCTCTCTCTATGGCCAGCTGGTGGTCACTCAGTCTGTACTTGGTCAGTAAATGTCTGTGTGTTATATTCCTGACTGAGACCAGATAGTCAGCCAGACTGTACTCTCTGTTGAGTTTCAGATAACATTGGAGACGACTTTGGTCTTTGGTTTGTTCTTTCCAATGCTGTATGTATGTCTCCTTCTCTTCATTCATAATGTCTTTGATTCTCCCGTGTTTTTCAGGGTTGGTGATATCGAGTGCTTTGTTAGTCAGATCTGACACCATTACACAGAGATGACTTTTTTG